AGGTTAAATAAAACAAAAATATTGGTGGTAATTTTTGACTGTGTAACTTTACAAACAGCAGCCCATACAATGTTCCAAGATATGAGAATATAAAAAATGAATTGTTTATGTGCAAGTTTTTCTATTTCTTTTRATTTTTCCAGATTGTTTTATTTTGAATTTTACTTCTTTATAACTTTTAGCCAACTTCCTGTTTCTTCTAGCTTCAGATCCTTGGACGGTCAGCATTCATAGTTTGGTTGTGTTATTGATGTGGACATTTTGTGTCAGTGTTTCTTCACCTTGTAATCTTGTCATCCAGCACTCTCTGCCTCCTGCTCCCTGAGACAAAGCCTTAAATCGCTGTCCTAATCCCAGTGAACAGTATTTTTAACTTGTGCTTGAGCAATAGGATTAGAGAGTCAGAGAAGGCACTGAAGCTARTCTTCATTCACCCTGACTGAAAAACTCACCATCGCTTGATTTTATTCTGAACACTGGATTATATTTTTACACCTGTTATCTAATGGAGTTCTTCAGGAACAGTTTTGTTTTTACTGTTCTTCACTGACTGGAACCTAACGAGCTGGTACCATGGCCAGCATWAAGCCCAAGCTCAAAGTGCTGAAGAAGCGTCGCTCCAGCCTTTTTGCAAGCATAAAACGAGACCTSAGCCTTTCACAGAGCATCGAAGAGGAGGAGTATGAATTTCCCTTTTCACAGGACAGCTCAATAAAACCATGGACTTCAATGGACAACCTCGACACYCCTGTGGAGAAAACAGATCAGAAGAATGAGGCACCAAACCCAAGGAGGTCAAACATTGTCAACCTGAACGTTGGAGGGAAGGTTTTTCACATCCCCAAGCATCTGGTCCTCAGATACCCAAAGACCAGGATTGGRATCCTTGCTCTGTGCAGTGATCCTGTCAAACGTCAGACGCTCTGTGACGACTATAATGTTCAGAACGACGAGTTCTTCTTTGACAGAGACCCCATGTTTTTCCACTACATCTTTCACTTCTACTGCAGTAACGTCCTCTGGGTGATGGACAGCCTGTGTCCTGTCAACTTCGAGGAGGAGATGTCATTCTGGGGGCTCAGACTGAAGGACACTCCAAGGTTTGCTGCTTGATTTATCGCCCACTGAGTGCAACGGAGTACTGACATTGTTCTGTTTGTTTTTGAGGTTTAATAAAATAAAACTAGTTTTTATCATAATTTGATTTTAGTCTAAAAGAGGACTGGAAGGCAGTGGGCTACATGCATTCACTGTAAAAAAATGAAATGTTGGATTTATTTAACCATGTTACCTGGTTCCACTTAACTGAGTTGAGTAAATTCAAAGCAATATACCAGATTTTTAACCAAAGAACACGAGTATGCTGCTTTGAAGTTGAATATTTTACTGTTTATGTACAAGGCTCACAGAAAAGTATTACTTTCCAACATTCAGGTAAACTTTGTTAAGAGAGACAGTTGTTTTTATCTAAAGGGGATGGAAATGTTTGTGAAGCCATATTTTAGTACTTGCTTGAGAGAAAGATGTACTTTAATCCAGGGTATAGTTTAATCCAGGGGACAGGATTGTGGAATGGTCTGGAAGAGGATCTTAAAAATACCAAATCTATGTATAGATTTAAAGGGATCCATGATTATTTGTAACATTAGACTTTATTTGACAAACATTTATTTTAACTGTAAAATAAAGACTGTAAAAGTACTGTAGGTTGTTTAGTTTTTATAATTTTCAAAAATATATTTTAACACGGACGGAGCCATTTTATTTCCACACAAAGCATT